TCTTTGTTGATATTGGTGGCCATTTTTATATTGTTACGAGTATAACACAGAAGGTTTGGGACAACATCATATTTATTTGGAATTACCAGGTGTTTACTGGCAGTTATCAGATGTAAATGTTATAATTAATCACATTTTGGCCATTAAGACCTTTCTCAAGTTTGCAGGCTCCAGATTTTTTGGACTTTAATCTTCCCATCAGAAGAATATTAAGCTGGGAAGATTGCATTTTAACCCACTAGCCTACTGTGGGAAGTTGTGATTTAATTGTAGCTCCATAATGTGAATATAGCACATATGCTTAAAAAAAAAAAAGTATGTACAGTATAGCCACTCACAAGTTCCTTTGTTAATTTCCTACTGCTAAATGAATTGGGGTCATTAGATTGGGACTGAATGGCAATTTGCTAGTTTTGCAAAAAAGAAAAGCACGAGGACTGGAAGTAGCAACAAAATGAGATCTTCATCGCACGCTAAAGAAAATGTTTGCCATTCCACTTGCTTTGGGGGATTTCCTTCCCTCGTGTACCTGAACCTCTTTAACACCCTAATAAAAATTGTGTGCAATTTATTAAAAAACCAGGGAAGAGCTGTATTCCATGAAACAATTTTAAAATGTGGATCAATCTTTATGCAGACAATGATATGATTCTTGAAAGCAAAATGTAGCTTGTATGTTTGAATATTTTGTAAGACATTTTTATTTTGTATTGCCTAATGATGACTTCTTTTTTTCAACTTGTTTTTTTCTCCCTTGGTTCTATTAAAAAAATGATGGACATGAATTTTTTCCCCAAGTGGTTGATTTCTCTGGATGTATACTGTTGACAGCTGTTGTGTGTTACTGATGGTTTCAAAGGTACCTTAAATAAGCAGTCTTAAAATGTGTTAGATTTGCACCTTAATCTTGAGCTCATTTGTTTCTAAAGAGAATCCCCTCAAATGAATCCAACTAAAATAATGTGACAAAAACCTGAGATATATAGATGTATTAAATATTCATGTATTGAACAAAGGGCATAAAAAAGCTTCATTGAGTCATCAGGCTCCCAATAGTATCTTTCGCTTATACGGAATGTTGAATGTCGTGTCTTTAAACCCAGAATTTCATAGTCTAAATTCAGAGTTATCCTTTCATAAGATGGTCAGAGGTTGGATATATCCAGGAAGGTTCCTGACAACCTCTGCTGTCTCCTCTTTAGCCAGAAGACACGGATGCCTCCTTTCTTTGAATATCCTGAAGAGAGGTGGTCTTCAGCATGTTCTGACCAGTTCTGGAGAACCGGTAGCAGAAATTTTGAGTAGTCCGGAGAACCGGCAAATCCCACCTCTGACTGGAGATTTTAGTGTCCTTCCCCTGCCACGCCCACCAAGCCACGCCCACAGAACCGGTAGTAAAAAATTTGAATCCACCACTGATCCTGAAGGAGATAGCAGACACGAATGTATTGTTCCAGCTGCAACAAGAGGCCAAACCCTTTTATCAGAAGAGGTAGAGCAAGAAACAGCAGCCCAACATTCTTAATTCCTTGAATGGCTTATTTGCTAGAGAACACAATCTAACGTTTGATTGTCTTGCATCTGATTTATTCTTCAGCCTTCTTTAGAGATAAAAGAAAAAACTTTACACGGTATTAGTTCTTGTGAGAAGTTGACCGTATAAAACTTTTAATTGGCTATACCAATGTTATAACCATGAATTCCTGCTCAAAAGTCTCTCCCATGGAGCAATAGCAATAGCACTTATATACCACTTTATAGTACTTTACAGCCCTCTCTAAGCGGTTTACAGAGTCAGCATATTTCCCCCAACAATCTGGGTCCTCATTTTACCCACCTCGGAAGGACGGAAGGCTGAGTCAACCTTGAGCCTGGTGGGATTCGATCTGCCAAATTCAGTTTAGCAGTCTCACTGTCCCTGTCTTAGCCATGACTCGCAGCCATTGAATCAATCAATCAGAATAGAGCTGAAAGGGACCTTGGAGGTCATCTAGTCCAACCCCCTGCTAAAGCAGGAGCCCTTATACCATTTCAAATAAGTGGTTGTCCAGGTTTTTCTGAAAAACTTCTGGTGGCAAGCTGTTCCACTGGTTTATTGTCCTCACTGTTTGGAAGTTTCTTCTTAATTCCAGGTTGCGTCTCTCCTTGATTAGTTTCCATCCGTTGTTTCTTGTCTGGCCTTCTAATACTTTGGAAAATACTGTAAGTTGACCCCCTCTTCTTTGTGGGAGCCTCTCAAATACTGGAATATTGTTATTCCTTTACTCGAGACTGGCCGTGCCCAATTCCTGCAACCATTCTTCATGTTTTTGTCTCCAGGCCCTTAGTTATCTTGAGTTGCTCTTCTTTGCTAATTATTTCCAAAAATCTCAACATCGTATTTGTAATGTGGTGACCAAAACTGGATGAAATATTCCAGTGGTCTTACTAAGGACTTATAAAGGGGTATTAATACTTCGTATGGTCTTGATTCTATGCCTCTGTTTATACAACCAAGGATTGTATTAGCTTTTTTGGTTGCTGCCGTACACTACTGGCTCATGTTTAAGTTGATCATCCACTAGGACTCCAAGGTCACTTTCACGGTTATTGCAATGAGAGTAATTGCAATTTGCCTGCTGTATTAGCCACCATAATTAGCCATTCACTTTGGGCACATTCTCCTTTGGTTGGGTTCCCAAATATGTCAAATGTAGCCCACTAGGGGCTTGGCAAATCAAATCAAATCAATTTAGAAAAATTGGTTCTGCAAGTTTACAATGAAAATTAGGAGTCTGAATCACTATACTGTACCATATTCTTTTCTAAAAGTCTACCTGAAAACATTTACTTTCAGTTATATGACTATATCACAGTTTCCTTCTAGTATTTAAAGGAATATAATTTCCTATATATTAATGCCTGTGATTTGCAGGCTGTGAATTAATAATGATTAATCTAGACAAAACATTTTTTATGTTTAAGGGTATGTAAATCTCACTTGCTAACTTCTAGAACTATATCAAAATATCATTTTAGATAGACAGAAATGCTTGCAAGGAACAAATGCCTCCTTGCATAATGACAGAAATGTTTAACTGTTTACCTTTGAATAGAACATATTACATTTGCTTAGCCTGCCTGTAATTCCTTTAAAGTCATGTTGACATATGGGCAGCTACCTTTTTGTTCTTTGTGGATTAATCCCATGGGCTATCCTGCTCAACCTGGGATTGCAAAAGTGGGTATGCTGAATTATAAACAGATTTGGATATGTGAGTCTACCGCTAAAAAAAGTAAGGCTAAAACCACTGAAAAGAACTTAGAATTTTATTTTATTTTTAGGAATGTTGTAAAATTGCCTCAAGAACAAAAACTGTTTGTAAGAGAGAGTAATTTGGGGGCCACTAAAATCAATTTTTATAAGATGTTTCAGTGGTTATTCCATGTCCAAAAGACCCCAGAATAACTGCACTGAGCCTTCAGACTGCTGTTTCTCCTTTACAGTCTCAAGGTACAGATTTTACAAGTTAAAGTTGCCAAATTTGGAGACTCCTGCAGTATCCAGTCAATTAAGAGGAGTCAAGAGCATCAAGGTGGATGTAGCAACTTTACAATCAAAGGCCCATCTCTTTTTACATGTACTTCACATGTGACTGATGGGAAAAGGTGGGAAGGATCTTTGATCTCTGGAGTTGCAGCTACCAGCTTGACTTTTTTTGACCTTTCCCAGGGATCCCTTGCATGAAGTAATTAGTATTAGAAGTCAGGGTAAATTGGATTCTAATCTCCAGTCAGATATAAAGCCTTTTAGATGAACTTGGCTAAAGGAGGGAAATATTTATATGCTGCTCGGACACCTTGGAGAAAAGCGTGGGATAAAAATCTAATACTTCTAAGTAGAAAATAGTTAATAAAAGATAATTGATCCATAGAGAGGTCACTAAGAGTTCATTTGATGTTTTAATACATCGGGAGGCTGCTTCTATATTGCAAAAAGGAAGGAAGGAGGGAAGGAAGAAAGGAAAAGAAAAAGAAGGAAGGAAGAATTTACCACCAAAAGTATCCAAAGGTTTTATTGATTTGGAATAATAGTCGCTGTATATTATTTTTTTCCCAGAATAGGAAGAATTAGAATATAACTTTATTACGGTCTTAGACCAGCAATAAACATCACTATTTACAATATATAAAAAAAGTACTGATACATTATAATACATTAATAGTGGATAAAAATATCCCTGTTAAGAAAATACATGTTCTCAAACAGTTAGAGGCACTCCCTAGTTTATATGAGGGGAGAGCCAATAAGTATGTGTGTAAATATCATTTTCCAAAGATTGTTCTATCTCCAAAAATTGGTGCAAGTTGACAGCTATAATTCTGTAACCAATTTTTTTCTAGTAGGCATTGCAGCAACACAGAATTTTGTAACTGCACGTGTAGTAGCTGAGTTTGAATCCTGGAGGAGAAAGTCTCTATAGAAATTGTCTGCCCTCCCTGGCAATCTTTCTAGTAAGGGGAGAATATACAATGACCTATAAACTCTGTATAACTCACAGTACAATAAAACATGCGAGATATCTTCAACTTCTCCTTTACCACATATACATACCCATTCTGCTATTGGTGTTTTCTTATACCTGCCCTAATAGGGAAAAGGAAGAAGTGTCACAGAATAAACTCGGGACAATGGTACATTCAAAGCCATCAAAGCAAACAAAAATGGTTGATGTCTTAGCACAAGAAAATGCTAAATCAAATTAAAGATGGGAAAAGTAAACAAGTCATCTTTACATCTTGAACTAATAAAATACTTAAAAATCGGGCACACAAATCAAAACTGAGAAACCACAACTGCTAGAACTCTCTTCCTCTCTTTGGATTGAGGTGGACTGCAGTATTGTATCAAAATGATATTACAATTCCTTCCCTTGTGATTCCTGGACTCCACTCGCACTGCAGCAATTCCAATTTCTGCAAAGGAGGTTTGTGAGGAAAACGTCACAAAGGAGCATGTCGTGGATTTGATATCTAGGCAAGAGTCTCAGAAAATATTTCCCATTTCTGAAGTGGATACCTTAAAAAAAATCTTTCAAGGTATTTTCCCCAAATACCCTATATAAATCTGGGAATTATTGAGGAAGCACAAAATAAGAAGAAACAGGCTGGTTTAGACAAACACTTAAATTCCAAGTTCTATAAGTATACCACAGAAAGGAATATACTGTATACCACATATAGAGAATCTTTATTGTGAAGTAAAAAAGATAGAGGGAAATCAAGAACTAGACCCTTTAAAGTAAGAAGGCCTCTTCCTAGATGATTACCAAAATTGGTTATTGGAATACTGACAGGGCCATTATTCTTTCTCTAAGTCAAATTCTCAGGATCAGTATCAACTTCTTGATTACCCGGTGAAATAGATAATTCTGTTGACATACCAGAATTGCTGGAACACCACTCAAAATGAACCATTTTGGGGTATTTTCCAAATAATACTATGGAGCACAAAATCTGCTGATTTTTCAACTTACACATTCAAACTGAAGCGATTCCTTTAATCACAGAAGTAAAATGTTGGATCAAATCACCGCAGAGACGTCAGCCCCTGCCCTTGACAAAAAATAGTTTAAATGAACACCTGAGATAATCATGAGAGAAAAATTATGTATGAAGGTCAGGAAGCAGGGCTGATTAACTCCTCTGAAGCAATGCCAAATTGTGAATGAGATGAAATATTGAGAAAATTAAACAATCCTAAGCAGACACTGTTAATAACACTGCAGTAGGATATTTGACAGACCATAAAGGGGGAGAGAGCAGAAATAATTATAATAGAGAAAATATACTCTTGTATATTTTGAGCCAGCCTATGACATAGAGCAGAAAAGAAAACAGAATAAATTTGTGATTTATTTATTTGTTAAATTTTTATGCTGCTCACCCTTCCAATAAAGTAGCCCTTGGAGGGAGCAGGCTTATAGACCATACTAAAATAAATAGAAAAGCAATTAAAATGTTAAAACCATGCAAATTTAAAATTTAAAACTATACAAATGCCAGTTTTATGGCTGAAGAGTGGCAGATTCTATAGTACCCAAGCACTGAAGCCTCTAGTGATTCCATTTCATTTGTTAGAAGATCTAGGACACTGAACTTTGATGTTCAGCTTGTAACCCTAGTAATAGTCCCATCTAGTTTGTTGCAGGCTTCCATGATGCAACAGAAGGAAGTTCCTTCTGCATCTGATGCAACTTGGATGTCTCTGCAATTTTTCTTTCTTACCAAAATGCAAGGAAATATCAAGGCCATTCAGAACTCTACAGAGTTCTGAAAATGATATTACTGGACTAGCTTTCAAGTTTTGTCCTGTGCTGTGATGGTTTTGGGTTACATTCAGAACTGTCTCAGGAATCTTCAATTTAATAAATATGCTTTTTTTAAAAAATTGTAGGGCAAAATATAAGTTGATTTCTGTCAATACACTCCATTCCTTGAGGGAGATGGGCCATCTAGAAATATGAAATTTAAACAAACAAATTAATAACATTTTAGAATGTACTGATTGAATTTTTTTTAAAAAACATCCATTTGCATTTTCCCTCTTCATTTTTTTGTCTTCCGTAATGCCTTGCCAAAATCAGAGATTTGTTTAATTTGTACTTTTTTTAATCTTGTATTTTATATTTTAAATTTTACGTTGTATAGTATGTCTTATTTTAGTTGTGCTGTTTTGGTCATGAATAAACAAACAAATCAGATTTTCCAATCTCCAAAGTTTCATGTTTGCTAGATATGATAAATACAGTGGTAGTGTATTCAACATTAACTGGTTTCAAAAGGTGCGATGAGTACCAAAACCAATGAGTACCAAACAATTTTTTCCCCAGAAGGAATTATATAGTGGGCCACAAGGCAGCCAACATTGACAAGTTTTAGCTTGTGCATTGAGTACCAATCAATGAGTACTAGGACAAAATTTCACATCAAAATGCATTGAGTAACAAATTTGATGAGTTTCAAAGCAGTTGAGTACCAAGGTAGTAGAGCGCTTTGTAGGGGGCGTGCACCATCCCTGTCCTATTGTTTCTTTTATATTTTTTTAAATTTTTCTTATATGTATCCATGTATTAATAACTGTGTTTTTACTTATACCTATTATCTTGTAAGCAATTGACAAATTAAAAAAAAAAGGTACCACTGTACCTAATAAACATAACAATGTTTATCAGCTATGGCAAATGTTTTCATAATATCCTTCATACTCCACATAGAAAGACATTTGCATTCATGAATCAATGACTTGCCCTCAATGGTGATAATAGAAAATTACAATAATCTCTCTTAGTAGGACTTCTTTCGCATTTAAATATTGAAGCTGTATCTATCTGTGATTCATGCTATTAAACTGCCCTTTTATCTTATATCTGACACCTTAAGTTCCTTGTGCCATTGTCAGCAAATGTTCAAATCAATCCCAACCAGCAATTATAGAACAGCTGTTGCAAGATTAATTTATGGAAATATCTAGGAAAGTTGTGAATTGTGTAGTTGTTGCTATTAGCGGTAGAAGCCACTGAATATAGCCTATGTCTAGATTTCATTTGGTTCTTACCTTTATGAACCATGCTGTTCTTGTCTTATTTTTTTTTCTTGTTATATGATTTGTTTCATTGTAATCTTCACTAGAAGATGCTGGGCCAATTCATTTATAGTTATGATTACTTGCTATGTAATTCATTTTTTTAAAGGAGACACAGATTTGCCTAAAATGTGTATAGCTTGATTTATATTTATAGATTCAAATATAGAAATAATTCTTATTATAATTTCACCAGAAATACACATATGTCTTAGTATAGCAGGAATGACTAATAATAGGTATGCATGATGAATTTGCTCACCTGGGCTCTAAGAATCACTTTCAAGATCTCTACTCTCCTTTAAAAATGATTTGTAATCATTTTACCTGGATATGCAATTGAAAGCCCTTTAAATAACCTTGGTGAAAAAGACAGAAAAGTAGGATGCAGTACAGATGGTACTTAGTTCTCTCCTCCATAAATTTAGAGTAGGTGATTGGATAAGCAGGGCCATAAGTGAGAATGGAAGGTCAGGCAGCATCAAAGACATTCCAGGTTTCAGTGTTAACACTGGAGCTTTCAATGGGTGGTAGGAGATACACTTGCACCTCCATTTCATGCAATATTGCATGAAACTTAAACTTAAAATTGGCAATTATTGACATATCAAGATGTCTTGGAATCCTTCATGAACCAAGCAAGCACTCCGTTCAAAAGAATGACAAACTGTAAAATTGGGTGTGGACCCTTCTATATTGCTAACTGGCCAAGTATCTCGGCTGCTATATATATATATTTATTTTGGATGTTTTTATTGTTTTTGAATATTTTGATTTTAAGATATTTTTTTTAAATTGTAAGCTGACCAGAGTCATTGAGGGAAATGGGGGACTATAGAAATTGAATAAGGGAATGAAGGACTGAAGGTGCCAATGTTGGCTTATAGGCTGGTATATAAAATATGCTTTGTGCTCAACTAATCTTGTAATAATTAATTAAGCAATAAAATCAAGACACATTCATCTTCTGCTGCCATTGGTTTTCGTAGTCTCCAGTGTGCTGATGAGAATTGATAATAAAAACCAAGAATAAGTTCTTAACTTATTAACACGGACCTCTGCAATGATGCCTTGATCATTAAATAGAAAGAGTGACATCCTGGTTACTGCATTTCAAGCAATAACCTCTTCATTTCTCTCCTCCTATTGACCAAGAAAGTAATTTTTCTAAGAGTCCTTCCATAGAACCCCTACTGATACAAATCAGAATCAAAGCAGTGCAGAAATCCACTTTTGTCACTTTAGCCTGGAATTAAAAAAGAAACCAAAACTGTTTGAATTTAGAATGAACCCAGCTTTTGTGGGAACTTGAGTCTGAAAAATAAAAGCTATTAACAAGCATACTTCTCTTCACCACACAGATAGCAGTAAGAGATCTGTTATTCTTTTTTTTTCCTACTCAAGAGGAGATTAGCATGATCCTCCTTTTTAAAAACAAAACAAAACAAGTTTTATTAATTTTTAAAGACAATACACAGACAAACAAAACATAAAACATAAGAACATAGAACATCTTTTCTAAGAACTGCTTAACAAAACAAATAAAACATCTTATTTAAGTACAACATAGTTCCAAATTATCACATTTCCATACAAACACAATTTAATATGCATCTTATGTATTCAACTTCATATCTTATTACTCTTTTTCCAATATCTTATTCATATCTTATTACTCTGTTTCTTCCTTTACTTCTGTTCAATTTTATTCATTAAACTTATACTTTCGTCTATTTCATATTACTATATTTCATATTATTACTGTTTCATATGTTCTTATCCAACATTATTAATTCTCAATAAACAAACATAAACAAACAAAACACATAACATAAAGACATAAAGCTTCTTTTTAGAAAGCGGCTTAACCCCAGGTTACAACTTTTTGTACAGACATAAATCAAATTCATGCTCACCTTATCTACTATTTCATATCTTATTTAACATTCTATATTTTCTATATGTCTTCTCCCCTCTTTTCACTCTCTTAATTCTATTTTATTTATTTAATCTCAATTTAAATCCTTATACTTGTATCTTTTGTCCGTTCTTTTTCAATTATCTATTTATCTTTTCTCTGTAATACAAACTTTTTCCTGTAATCACTGGTTGAAGTATGACACCTTTCTATCTTTCCCCCAAATTTAACACTTAAAATAATACATAATTTCCATTCTGATTCTGCTTAGTACATTCTACATAACATTTTAAAATAAAAAAATATAATATTATAGTATGGTAAAAACAATGTTCCATAACAAATTAATTAATTAAACTCTATTAGTTAAGTCTTAGACATTTTACACATTCCCTACAATGTTCTATTAACACATATGTTATTCCAATTTTCTAACTCTATTTCAAATACAGATACTACAATACAATCTTATGTACTTTTGCAGAATCTCTTTTTAGATTATATTTTACCCTTTGTCTCTGAAAAAAACCTGTTTTTTAACGTCTTGTTTTAAGCCTTTATAACTTCTCCTCACTTTTTCCCTTCCTTCCTTGTCAAATCTAGCCTTTTTACCCCCTCATCTCTCAATCTCCACCCTCTTAGTCTCCCCTCTCTGTTGTATTCCTCTTTTCTGTTGCTTTCTGACCTTATATCGATTTTTTACCTTATTTTTCCCTTCTTGGTTGTTTTTTTAGAACTTAAATTCTCCATTTTCTTTTCCTTTTTTCCCTTTTCTTCCTCATTTAAAATTATATGTCCATTAAAGACGGCTTCTTCTTCATCCCAACCTTCTTGTTGTTGCATTTCCTGATAAGTAGAAATCACCATTTCTAAGAAGCGAAAAATAGATCCAAAAGAGCCCTTGCCTTCTTGTTCCTCTTCTTTTAACTTTTCAAATTCCATTTTCAATTCTTCAACCGATACCATTGTGAAATATTTTTTTTAAACAATCCAAATGTTTTTTTGTCTTTCAAAAGATAGTTTACAAAAGTCCCAAAGTCATCAAGCAATGGAAATCAGCACAAACTGTTTCATTTAACATTTTCTTCTTTTAATACTTCCTCTTCCTGGGGTAGAATTCAATTACACAATTCCAAGGTAATTTTTTGAAGTTTTATTGCAATTTAATCTCTGATCTTATAAACTCCAAGCAGTCTCCTTCAACAAATCTTGGTATAAATCATTTACCTCTCTTCCTTCCCACTTATAGCAAAAAGATTTTAATTTTTAAATGTCAGTGTTTAGAAATCTAATGTCCCCTTGCCTTTAATTTTCAAAGTTAGTTACCTTCTGCTGCCAAAGCGGGTATTTCCGATTTCCATCTGCTATCTCCGTAGGGAAGGAAAGTGAGGAGAAAAAAAAAAGCTTTCACTTTCACTTTCAACCACAGCTTTACGATCTTCTTGGGAAACAATATCACTTAAAGAGCCAAAGCTCCAGGGTATTCAGATGTTGCTTGTCATCCCGGTTCAGCCAAAAACTTTCACTTTCTCAACTTCCTCCTGCATAAAACTTGTCCGGCTGAGAGGTTCTTTGTGGCGGCCATTGCTGACCACCACTCCACCACCTTTGGAAAAGGGAGTTAAGCCGGCTGGGGAAGGGGGTTGCGATGCCCCAGACCCCTTCCCGGATCTCCCCTATCTTCAGTTATCCCTACAGGATAACTAATAGCCTCCAAATCCAGCTGGATCGGAGGCACTCCGGCAGCGAGCGCGGCAGGGATTGTGCACAAATGCGAATTCCTGCCCTCTCCGAAGCCTGACAAACCGGAACTCCCCTAGAGATCTGTTATTCTTGTGGATTTGTTATCCAAATGCGTAGCAGGTGTCTGTGACGTTCCCAAAGACATTCTCTGCTTCCAACACTCACCCCTGGGAATTCATAAAGCATGCTTAATGCAACACAATAAGCTTCTTTCCCAAAGTATTCTTGGCATAGCTAGAGAAGTACCTTCTTAGCTAAAAGGTGACAGAACATAACAACACATATACAATAGAATTAGTATTGCAAGTAGAATACACATCAAGGGACTTTCTTGTTTGAAACAGATACCTTTGCTGGATGCAATTTTACTTTCCAGTCTTATCTGCACACTGCAATATTACTTTTTTAAATTCTTTTTTATCTCCCTCCTCCCCCATTGTGATGGTGAGCCAAAGATCAGGCATCTGTAGTTTGGGGATTTGAGCATGTTTAAATGTCAGCTTGCTTGTAATTGAGATTTCAACATACTAGAAACCAGTCCAGAAAGAAGGAATTATGAGGGAAGAATAACCCTTCCCTTTTTGTCCCCCATTCAGTCCAGTTTTTGAAGTGGTATAGTGGGATTTTTGGTGATCTTTGAACTTGGTGATTTTCTTGCAGACATTTCATTGCTAAAATAGATGACATCATCAGTGCTATTGGGCTATAATTAGAGAAGTCAAGTTGAGGGCTGTGCATTTCCTAAAAGCCAGTGTTCCCTTCTAACCAGTATGAGCATCAATGTACAGTATATTGACAAGCAGATATGAATATTTAGAGCCACACAGAATATATTCTTGTGAGAACAAAATAAACCAGAGGGGGAGGAGTTCTACAAAGAGGAAGCCAACATTGAAGGACAAAATGAACAACAATTATTTAAGCAGGGGGGGGAAGGAATTAGAATTAAAAATTTGTGGTCTGATGGGATGATAAAAGGGAGAATGGTTTGGAAAATGGATAAAAGGAGAGGGAAAAAGCAGAAAAAGGAAGGGCAAAAGAAAAATCAAAAGAGGGAGAGAGAAAAATTTAATAAATGGAATGAGAAATTGAGGGGAATGAAAAATTGAGGGGAATGAGAATGGGAAAAAGGGAATTAAGAGAAAGGACCAGAAAACAAAGAGGAATAGGAAACAAACAAGGATGAAAAGAAAGTACATTGTCCAAAGAGTGAGAGATAATGGGTGAAAAAAAAAGAATAAGGAAGGAGATTCTGCAAGGTAATATGTTGTGATATATAATATATTGAAAATAATATTTTGTAATGTATAGATGATTCATAAAGTGTTTGAGAAAATATAATGTGGAATCTGAGAAAAATATATATATTTGTGTTATATACTAGATAGGGAGATTGATATTAAGGTAGAATGAAGGTAGTTAGCTCAAATTACTAACCAGAGGGACAATTGTATTTACAGATAAGGATTGATAAAATGACAAATGTGACAGAAAAAAGTAATATGAGAAATTACAACAGAAATGAGATGAGAATTTTAGATAATGTTGAAGATATGAGAATATATTAATATAACATGAACTGGAATTGGATAAGATAAGCTTAATATTTAACAATAATAAGGATGATGCAATATGAAACTAAACAAATATAATGAACAGGTAACTATGGTCATGTTTATATTGAGATGTGAAACCTGGAAACATACTGCCTGCCAAATGAGAATTTTTTATTTAAAAAAATAAAATAAAAGCAGGGAGAAAATTGAATAATGGAATTACTAGGTATGTTAACTGATATGGTGGTAGGCATTTGGAGAGAGTTTTGAAAGGTTGAAAATAAGCATTGAAGGATTATGAATTAATGTGAAATATATGCATTGAGAGATATGATTGATATTATTAATTTTGCCTGTACAAAAATGTATGATATATTGATGCCACACTGTTAATGTATTGTTGTGCATATGCAGATTGAAATAAATTTTTTTGGAAAAAAAAGAGAATATATTCTTGTTAATATAATGTATATTGATACATACATACATAAAGTACACCGATATATGTAAATGTGGGCAAAGTTATCTATCCAGGGAATAGTGAGTGTTGATGGTAAAGCTGTTTATTAATTATGTGCCTGGATCTATTCAATTGTTCACCATCCCTCTTGGAAGATCATTCATGTACAGAAAATTGTGTATCTATTAATGTATAGCATAATCTTTAAGGAACCAGGGTTTCTCCAACACTTGGGCATCTGAACAAAGAGAGACTTGCTCTAATTTTAGGGTCTAGAAAACTCGACATGGTCAACTCCACCACGGCCAACTCACCATGGGACAAGAGTCACAGTAATATTGAAAAAGTGGTGGAATAGAATCATTAAAGAAAGGATACCAAAAGAGAGACCAAAGGAAATGTGAATGACAAAAATTAAAATATTTTAAAAATTATTTTCAACAACTGAATCGTTGAATTGTCCTGCGGCGAGTTGTCCCATGGGGAGTTGTCCTGCAGTGAGTTAGGCATGGCAAGTTGGGCATGAGGAGTTGCCCACTGGGAGTTGGCTACAGCGATTTGGCCATGGTGAGTTGGCTGCGGTGAGTTGCCCCATTCTGATAATTTTGGAGTGGTTCAGCAGCAGTGGTCACCAAAAATCACAATCCTATAGTACATTGATAATTGATGATTATGTCCCATTAAGTAGTTAACTCCTCACAACCAGATCTCCATGACAGTCTGTCTCTAACCTGCTCTTTCAGGTCTTCCAACAGTGCACTCATCATTATGTCCATCCATTCTGTTGCTGGTTCTTCTTTTTCTTTCTTCCTTTCCTAGCATTATGTCCTTTTCCAGAGAGGTTGGCCTTAACATAATGTGTCTGAAGTAGGATGATTGAAGCCTAGTTATTTGTGACTTGAGTGAAAACGTCTGGCTTGACGTGTTTGATTATCCATTGATTTTTTTTCTTGGCTGTCCGCAATATTCTCAGGAATCCAACACCAAAGTTCAAAGGCATCAGTACTCTTCCTATCATGATTCTTCGAAGTGCAAAAGTTGCCTCCATAGAGCATCAGGGGGGATACTATGGCTTGCACAGTACTTTACAGTTCATTGCTGTAGTGATGTTCTGGTAAGACAAATGTAAACTATTAACAATAAATAGCCAACATATTTTTAGTTTGTGCTCTGACCCAGCTCCCCAAACATGACAAACCCTCTGATGTGAACTCAAAACATTCCTTTATTAGGAATGACGGCAGCACCGGCAAAAAGTTTCTTTCTCAAGTTAACAAGTCTGTTGGTTGGCTGCCACACCTATTCATCTCCGCCCTCTGCCTTTTATCCCCAAAGCTAGGGTGGGGCCTTGTTAGCAGCTGTGGCTCTTCCTTCCTCAGGATCAGCCCAGGGCTTTCCACTGCTCTCCTCTCCTCTGCCTTCTCTGCAGCTGCGTGTCGGGCACTGGACCCAGCTGTTCCTCCTCTTCTTTATCAACCACCAAACCTGGGGGCTGTTGACTTTCCATCTGAGGGCTGACAGATGGCCCAGACTCTGTCTCTGTCTCTGTCTCCCTCCCTCTCTCCCTCCCTCTCTCTCCCTCCCTCTCTCTGTCTCTCCCTCTCCCCCCTCCCTCCTGTCTCTCTCCCTCCCTCCCTCCCTCTCTCTCCCTCTCCCTCCCTCCCTCTTTCTCCCTCTCCCTCCCTTTCTCTCCCTCTCTCTCTCCCTCCTCCTCTCCCTCCCTCTCTCTGTTTCTCTCTCTCTCTCTCTCCCTCCCTCCCTCTCTCCCTCCCTCCCTCTCTCCCTCCCTCCCCCTCTCTCTCCCATCTCTATTCCCTCTTCCCCCTCCAAGCTCCCTGGTTGTCCTGATGCTGACCCAGACTCCCATGCCTCCTCCTCCTCTGATTTGGCTGCTGGAGGGGCCAGCGGCTGACAGGCTCAGAACAGTTTGGTTACAGGTTCCCTCCCTGCCTTCAGGCTGCAATGCAATGAATTAGCATGTTATTTCACCCGTAAAGGATTATCGTGCCTGGAATTTTACATCTTGTCACTGTGACAGTCTCACTATGACCTGCACTAATACATTAAATGTTTGTTTAATTGAGGGTGAGATTCCTACTTTGGCTCCTGGAGGGTCCAACTTGCTCTTCTAAAATTAATAGGAGTTTTGTTTATTTGCTTGCTTGCTAGTTTGTTTACGATTGATTTCACCAAGGACTTGATTACTCCTCAATTATAAGCATGTCTTTTATTCTTGCCAGAACAGGTGCAATTAGACCAATCACTGAAGTAAGGAACATGAATTTTATGCTGTATTTTCTCTTATTTTCCAGCCTATTCAACAAAGCTGAATAAATTCCCCATCTTCAATTTTTATGATGACCTGAAGTACCTTTGTATCAGTGCTGCAAGCCCAAATACAACTAAAGCGACTTTGTATGCTCTGAATGTGTGGCGATATTGGTGCATAACAAAAGGCCTGAAAGATTACCTGGACTTTACAAAGGTGAGGGCCATGATTAAGATTACCTGAATCATAAGATTACCTTGGCAGAATGGCTAGGTTAAGGTCAGGTAATAAAAATATTATTCAAGTGTTACACCAATTTTATTCATTTCCAGTGTGTTTCTGAGATCAATTTAAAGTGGTGATCATGTCATAAAAGGGCCATAGTTCCTCACCCCTGGTCTAAAAGTAGACGTAGGCTACATTTTTTCTCATCCTGCTGATTTCAGAATGGTGGACTTCGGCTTCTGTAACTCTGAGTTGACATAATCCTTGGTCATGTTCAACAGAAATTCAATGTATGTTTGGTGTGTGTGTGTGATTTTCTGGTTAAAGAAGATTAATCCAGGTAAAAACCTTTTATCCCCAGATAAAAACCTGTACATTTTAACGATTATCTTCTAATCTATTCATGTTAGTCTGCTCAATATTTCACCATCTAAAGTACAGCAAATTGGAAAGTAAGATAAGTTTTTTCAAATGTGCAGCACAATCCCTAGATATTTTTTTCCTAGAAGATTGTTTGACACATCTCAAACATGATGTTTTCTGTACTCAGCCAGTCATAGTTTTTATTGTAGAAGATAACAAAGGAAGCTACTGTTTGGCCCAGATCACTTCAAATTTATTAAGTCAAAGAAACAAGTGAAAATTAGAGATAGAAGTGAAGAGTAAACAAAAAATAAAGGATCAAGAGACATCTACAAGAAAATGTTTCTTTAAAAAAAATATGAAACTGAATATTCTATCATAAATATGTTGAATATACATATGAAATCTGTAGAGTCTTGGTAGTTTCTAAGTTTGGTTGTTTGCTTGCAGACATTTCAATACCTGATTAGGTAACATCATCAGTGCAAGTGAGCATGGGGTTTGCTCATTGTTTATATATAGTAGCTTGTCCTGCTAATGTTGGTGCTGGTGTGGTTTGATTAGGGTATTATTTTCTGTTTGATTAGTAGCCTGGTGTTAATCCCTGCATATCTAGGTGTTGGCTGCTGAAGAGTACCAAGGACTCTAGAATTCAACCCTGACCTTTATGTACTCACCTATATTATAAAATACAATCTGTATACGAATACAGATTTTAAATATAATGTAATGAAATGAAATATAATGTAATGTTATATAGTAATGTAATAATATACTATAATGTAATGTGATGTAATATTGTATTATAATAAATATAATATAATAAATAACATAACATAATATAATATAATCAGTGGTGGGATTCAATTTTTTTTACTACCGGTTCTGTGGGCGTGGCTTAGTGGGCGTGGCAGGGGAAAGATACTGTAAAATCTCCAGTCAGAGGATTTGCTGGTTCTCAGAACTACTCAAAATTTCCGCTATCAGTTCTCCAGAACTGGTCAGAACCTGCTGAATACCAACTCTGAATATAATATTTTCATCTTCTTCCTGTCCTAAAAGGACAGTTTTGAGTTGGGGACTTTGGGGAGCTGCTTGGACAGATGGAGAGTCAAAATTTTTCTGTGCAGCCACGAAAGTGAGTGTGCAGTTATCACACTTTTCCAGAAAACAACCTATTTATTTATCCAATTTATATGGCTGCCCATCTCATGGAAAAT